TTTCCAGTATCTGTCCTTGTGACAGGGGAGCTGCAGCAGTCTGTAGGAGAAGGAGCTGCAGCAGTCTGTAGGAGAAGGAGCTGCAGCAGTCTGTTGGAGAAGGAGCTGCAGCAGTCTGTTGGAGAAGGAGCTCCGTTGACTGTCCAGCTGCAGGTGGAGAGGATGGGTGGGGTTATCCATGATGGACAACAGCCTGTTCAGTGTCCTCCTCTCCACCACAGCTTCAAAGGGTTCCAGCTTGATGCCGATGACTGACCCAGCTTTCCTGATCAGTTTATTGATCCTGCTGGTGTCACCGGCTCTGATGCTGCCCCCCCAGCAGACCGCAGCAAAGAAGAGTGCACTAGCCACAACAGACTGATAGAAGATCTCCAGCATCTTACTGCATACGTTGAAGGATCTCAGCTTCCTCAGAAAATAGAGTCGGCTCATCCCCTTCTTGTACACAGCGTCAGTGTTGATCCTCCAGTTCAGCCCATTGTCTAAGTGCACTCCCAGGTACTTGTAGACCTCCACAACTGCCACATCCTCTCCCAGAATGCACAGGGGCAGAGGAGGAGATGTCCTCTTCCTCCTGAAATCAATGACCATCTCTCTGGTCTTGGCCACATTCAAAAGCAGATGATTTCTTCCAGTCCACTCAACAAAATCACCCACCAGCGCTCTGTACTCCTCCTCCCGTCCATCCCTTATACACCCTACCACTGCAGAGTCATCCGAAAACTTCTGCAGGTGGCATGACTCTGAGTTGTATAGAAAGTCAGAGGTGTATAAGGTGAACAGGAAAGGAGACAGCACAGTCCCCTGTGGGGCTCCAATACTACCAACCACCACATCAGACAGCACACTGCCCAGCCGGACGTACTGTGGTCTGTCCGTGAGGTAGTTGGTAATCCAGGAGATGGTGGACGAGTTTACCCTCATAGCCTGCAGCTTGTCACTCAGTAGCCGAGGCTGGATCGTGTTGAATGCACTGGAGAAATCAAAAAAGGTGATTCTCACAGTGCAACCCGATCCATTCAGGTATGAGTGAGCACGCTGCAGCAGGTAAATAATGGCATCGTCCACCCCCAGGTGAGGCTGGTAGGCAAATTGCAGAGGGTCAAGGAATGATCTCACCTGCGGTCTGAGATGGGCCAAGACCAGTCTCTCAAGCACCTTCATCACATGAGATGTGAGTGCTACAGGGCGATAGTCATTGAGCCCAGAAGGAGTTGTCTTTTTAGGGACCGGAACAACGCATGATGTCTTCCACAGCACCGGGATGGTCTCCAAGTGCAGGCTCAGGTTGAATATATACTGGAGAACAGGAGCCAGCTGGCGTGCACAGGTCCTCAGGACCCTGGGGCTGATACCATCAGGGCCAGCAGCCTTGCCTTGGTGGAGTTTTTCCATCTGACTCTGGACCTGTCCTGTGCTCACAGTGAAGCGGGGGGGGGGCTTGATGGAAGGGGGGATAGAGGGGGGGGGGGTCTGAGGCAAGATGAGCAGAGGGGGGGGGGGGGGGGGGTCAGCGGCAATGTGAGCAGAGGGGGGGTGCAGAAGCCAGGCTGGGTGGTGGAGGAGAGGTGTGAAGTGTAGGTGGTGAGCAGAGGGGGGATGTTGACGCCAGGCTGAGAGGAGGAGGTGAGGTGAGAAGAGGAAGTGGAGGAGACAGCAGCGGGCGGAGAGCTAAACCTATTGAAGAAGGTGTTCAGCTCGTTGGCCCTCTCCAGGGTGCCCACAGTCAGTCTGTCTCTCCCTTTGAAGCCAGTGATAGCCTTCATCCCAGCCCAGACATCCCTGCTATTGTTCAGCTGGAGCTTAGTCTCCAGCTTCTTCCTGTACGAATCTCTGCCCCTCCTCAAATTGTCTCTCAGTTGATGCTGGATACTCTTCAGCATTGATTTGTCCCCAGACTTATAAGCTTCCTTTTTCTTATTTAAAAGAGTTTTCAGGTCACTAGTAATCCAGGGTTTATTATTGGGGAAACAGTTGACAGTTTTAGCCGGTAATATTGTTTGTTCACAGAAGTTGATGTATTCTGTGATGCAGTCAGTCATATTATTGATGTCCTCTCCATGTGGCACACAAAGCACGTCCCAGTCAGTGGTCTCGAAGCAGTCCTGTAGAGCCTCATTAGCCCCTGGAGTCCATTTCCTCACAGTCCTGGTGGATACAGGCTGCCTCTGCACCAGTGGGACATATTTAGGAGCCAAAAAGACGAGGTTGTGGTCAGATCTGCCCAGGGGGGGGAGGGCAGTGGCACAATATGCATTCTTGGTATTAGCATATAGAAGATCCAGAGTATTATTTCCCCTGGTGGGGCATTTCACATACTGAGTGAATGTAGGCAGAGATTTGTCCAGTTTTGCACGGTTAAAATCCCCAGTTATTGTTATGAATGCATTTGGGTGAAGAGTTTGGAGTTTGGCCACAGAAGAGTGAATGACGTCACCAGCCACCTCCGCGTCCGCGTTCGGTGGAATATAGACAGCAACTACGATGACAGAATAAAGTTCTCTAGGTAGATAAAATGGACGTAATCCCACAGCTAGCAGTTCAATGTCCGGGCTACAGAAACGCTCCTTCACAGTAACATGTCCAGGATTACACCATCGTTCGTTCACATACAGTGCAATCCCTCCTCCTTTCTTTTTACCGCTCAGAATAACGTCCCTGTCCGCCCGAACACTCGTGAAGCCGGGGAGAGCCGTGTTATTATCCGGGATGAGCGAGTGCAACCAAGTCTCGGTAAAACACATGATGCTACACTCACGGTATTCCCACTGCGTCTTCGTCAGCACGCGGAGCTCGTCCATCTTATTCCCCAAAGACCTCACGTTCCCCATTATGATGGCCGGTACACAGGGTTTGTACCTCATCTTCTTCTTCATCCTCAGCTTGGCCCCAGCTCTGCAGCCACGCTTGAGCCTCCGAAGCTCCTCCGGGATGTCATGCCTGGCTCCGGGCAGCAGCACGGGTCGGCACAGCGCAATCAGCTGCTCACGCGTGTAAACAATGCCATCACTCCTCTGAGCATGGCTCTCCGACACAAAAAGTGAAAAAAGTAGCAGAAGAATGACCAGAAAACGTTCGAAGTAAAACGTGGCCATAGTTCGCTGCAAAACAAAATAAATATCCAAAGAAAAAAGTACAACTAAGAGAATAAAGTAAACAAAAAGACAAAGAACAATAAAACACCGGGAGCTGCATGCAACAGGCAGCCACCAGCACGGCGCCTTACTTCAATAATTATACACCTGAAAATCAACAGGAGAGGACTCTTTAAAGTAGAGACACTACATACTGATATACACCTGAACATCAGCAGGAGAGGACTCTTTAAAGTAGAGACACTACATACTGATATACACCTGCAAATCAACAGGAGAGGACTCTTTAAAGTAGAGACACTACATACTGATATACACCTGAACATCAGCAGGACAGGACTCTTTAAAGTAGAGACACTACATACTGATATACACCTGAACATCAGCAGGAGAGTACTCTTTAAAGTAGAGACACTACATACTGATATACACCTGAACATCAGCAGGAGAGGACTCTTTAAAGTAGAGACACTACATACTGATATACACCTGAACATCAGCAGGAGAGGACTCTTTAAAGTAGAGACACTACATACTGATATACACCTGAACATCAGCAGGAGAGGACTCTTTAAAGTAGAGACACTACATACTGATATACACCTGAACATCAGCAGGAGAGAACTCTTTAAAGTAGAGGACACCACATACTGATATACACCTGAACATCAGCAGGAGAGGACTCTTTAAAGTAGAGACACTACATACTGATATACACCTGAACATCAGCAGGAGAGGACTCTTTAAAGTAGAGACACTACATACTGATATACACCTGAACATCAGCAGGAGAGAACTCTTTAAAGTAGAGACACCACATACTGATATACACCTGAACATCAGCAGGAGAGTACTCTTTAAAGTAGAGACACTACATACTGATATACACCTGAACATCAGCAGGAGAGTACTCTTTAAAGTAGAGACACTACATACTGATGTACACCTGAACATCAGCAGGAGAGGACTCTTTAAAGTAGAGAGACTACATACAATTAATGTATTATTTAGGCTCCAGAACCGCAGACCCACTGATTGGTGGACGCTCACACTGCCTGCTGGGGATCAGTAATGTTTGGTATTTTATTTAAAAGCCATCTGCCTCAGACTCACCGGTCAGCGCGCGGAGTTTGATGCAGCAGCTCATGAAGTCGTCGAACCCGATTCTGCCCTGCACGCTGTAGCGGTTCATGATGATGCTCATCGCCTGAGGGCTCAAATTATAACCTGCATGGGAACATCATAGAGGACATTCATCATCATATTCACTTCAACCAAAAAGAAAAAAAGATGTTTGCACATTTCCGCACAATGCAAAAAAACAACTAATTAAAGGTCCCCTATTATACCTTTTTTCAACAGTATATCACAGGTCTCAGATATATACAGAGCCTGTCTCTGATTGGCTGAAACACCAAACAGATCATTGCAGCATCCCATAATCCCCCTCTGTTTCAGCCCTGTTTCCAAAGTGCTGATTCTCTGTCTGTTACGAAAATAAGGAGCCCCTCCCCACGCCCCTCTGAGAGATATTTGGTTACAAAGAACTCAATAGCCGCGTTCACACCAAGTACTTTCCTGTACTTAGTTCCGGCACTCA